GTGTCGACCACTGTTGATCAATACGATTCTTGAAATCCTATCGGTCACCAGTATCGATCACCCAAGATCGACACAATCATATCAGATGTATTTCGGTCAAGTGTGTCGACCACTGATGATCGATACAAATCCCAGGAAGCACATCGGTCTCCAGTGTCGATCACTCATGACCGAAAATGCAATTTCGGTCAGTAATATCGGTCATGAGTGACCGATACTCTATCCAGGTAAGTCTCTAAAATTTTTCAAATTTCTCCTTCCTTTGGTTTGGAGCCAAGGAAGTTTAAATTCAAATTTTGAAGGGCCCCTCCTGTAGTCTGAAAAGCTCCTGAGCACCTCTGACCTTGTCTCCCACTCATTTGATTCCCTTCACTCCCCACCCATCTATTTATGAATCTATAGGCTCTTCCTACTCTCCCTAACTTCTTACTTCATTACTTGACCTCTAAGATCTTTAGCTCTCTCTTCTCCTCATTATCAGCACTCAGAATTTCTTTGAGCTTTTACACTTTCAGGTACAATGAGGAAAAGGGGCAGCTCAACAGCAACCAGCAGTAGGTTACAAAGGGAGGAAGCATCCCTATTGCCAAGCGCTGAGATACTCATGGAAAAACTCAACAAATGTAGCTTCCAGCCCACAAGATATCCTTGCGCCTCCACTATGCAAGCACTTGGGATCAACTTGGACTGCAAGACTATCTTTAAAGGCATGGGGCTCACTGACTTTATGGCAAGAGCTCTTCCATCCTACATGAACCTCACCTACCAATTCCTCTCTACCCTGAAAGTGGTGCACTATGATGATAGCCAGCTGGTGAATAGGGACGGCTGGATATCCTTTCAAATCGATGGCCAAACCTTCACAATAACCTTCTTCAAACTTGCACTGGCCTTAGATACATACAAATATACTTCATGGGAGCGCAATTTCAAGATCAGCCAAAGGCAACACAAGATGCTATGGGAAGTATTGGGGGCTAGCAAATCCACTGCAGGAACCTTGAGGAACACATATTTGAAGCATCCGGCAGTGAGGTATTCCCACATGGCTCTGGCAAACGCATTCTTCGCAAGGGGTGATACAGATATACTCACAGCAAGGGAGAAAGACTTCATGTACAACGCCATACAACCACTGGTGATCTACAGCACCAATGGAACACCTCTTAGGCCTCCCACCAAGTATCCCTGCTACACCGCTATGCTGATGGACCACCTCTTCACATACAAACACTGGGTTTTGACGGAGAATCACCCACACATCTGCGTCGGGGGAATTGTGACAGCCATCCTAATAGCTTGTGGCGTGAACCTGGCAGAGCATACTAACAGTGCCCTACAACCACTATGGATGGACTTCGATTACCTAAGAAGCAGGCATTTCCTTGAGGGGAGCATCGGCAGCCAGCACATCTACACCTTCTTCAAGGACACCAACACGGCAACCCAGTTTCTCCTTCCAAACCTTCCGCAAACAAGCATAGAGATCAGGAGCCACCTGAGCTTTTGCCCTGATGAGAGCCAACTATACCACGAGGGATCAGTAGTTGAAGAGAGAACTAACAGTCATCGAGACAAGGAACAAAGATCATCCTATCACTCCTGCCATTAAACCAAGTACCACATCCTCTCCATTGTTATATACCATTGCATCTTTTCATTTTTGTAATTTATTTTGTTGCTTCTCTTTCCATTGCTTTCATTACACAAGGGACTGTGTAATTTAAGTGTGGGGGAGAGATTTGGGGTTTGACTTTGTTTTCTGTTTTCTTTGTTTTTCTTTTTCTTTTCACTTTGAGTCTCATGCATATCATGCATACATGTAAGGCATAGAAAAACAAAAAAAAATCGAAAAAAATTTGAAAATCTTTTGCATTTTTTGCAAACCAAAAAGAAAGCATGTAGTTGCATTTCATTCCTTTAAGATTGAGTTTAGTGTTGACATATAGGTTGCATTGCATTTGCATAGGGCATTATGATGAATTTTCTTTGTAAAGTGCTTAGTGTTTAGAGATGATTTCGGTTTTCAAGTGCTTAGTTGTTTGATGCATCATATGATTGCTAGAAGTTAAGGCTGAACCATGCTTAGATTGCTAGATTTGGTCTTCTCATTTCATTCTGAAAGCATTTGTTCTCTGAAAATCAACTCTATCAACTTGAACTTTAATTTGGACTTTCAATTATCATGTCTTATGCATTGAAAAGTGAATTCATGGCTACCATATACATATTTGGATCATCTTTCTCCTTTCCACCACTCTTGTTGACCCAAATAGCTGATCCTCATATTTATGGGACAGTTACATCCTCACTCTTAACCAAAACCTCCTTTTGAGCCTAAACACTATTGTGAGAGCTGTGAGGCCTTTGCATTGCATTTTCGATTTTGTCTTGGCAAAAAGTGTTAGGAATAAGGCTGGCAATGATTAGCTCTCTTGTAGATATCAGCTTGCATCTTGAGCTTGATTCTAGGATAGGAGTTTTTGGGGTTTGAAAGGGTAGAGTTAAGTGGTTTGAGCTTAATATTTGTTTTTATCTTTTGAAAAGAAAAGGGAAAGATTTGAAATGGTAGATAAAGGGGAAACAGTTTAGTATTGTGGTTAAGCAAAGGGAAGAAAAGCTGTAAGTTCAAAAAGGAAGAATTGGCGCCAACAACAAAGCTCAGAAAGGGTCCAAAGAAGAAAAATCAGACCAGGAGCAATCCACCAAAGGTGATGAATGTGCCATTACAATAAAGAAGAGCAAGTCCCAACAAAGAAGATGCAACCACACAAGCAGAATGAAGAAGGTTTCCCCAGCCATGAATAAGAAGAAAGAAAAGGGTAGAGTTTAGGAAAGGGTAGACTTAGAGGGTTCACTTTTGGTTTAGAAATGTTTAGGACTCATCTTTGGGAAGTAAGGGTAGAAGAGGGCTTTGAATTGCATGCATAAGTGTGCTTTTACCTTTAGCATTTTGCCTAAGATGAAGTCATTTCATTGAGTGATCCTTTATGTCTTTAACCCTGTGCTTAATTGAGATCATTCTTGTCTCATAACCTTACCCCTTTTCAACCAAATGTCTTCACTTGATTTGCATAAGCATGATTCATGTTCTGAACTTAATTGAATGTTAAAGAGTTGATTGATTTGAGCATTTGCCTAAGTTGAGATTTGAGATCATTTTGAAACATGATGAGCATGGCTAGGTTCTTTTAAGTATAGCTGATTGTGTTTGCATCCTACAACTAGGCACTTGAGCATTAAAACCATCCCCTTACCTTTGTACTTTTGGAATCTGAATGCCCACTTTCAAACCTCACTCTCCCATTTGTTCTTACTTGCTTGAGGACAAGCAAAAGGCAAGTGTGGGGGTGTTGATATTCCTTGTATTTACACCATTTAGGGCTGCATTTAGTGCATGTTTTGGTCCTCTTTTGCATATTTTCCCTTAGCTTTTGTCCTACTTTCTTCTCCTTTTAGACTTAGGTTGCATTAGGAGTATATATTGCATTTTCCTCGCATATTGGATGTTTTTAGGTGCTTTTGGAGCTTAAAGGAGCTTGGAGGAGCTTTGGGAATGATCCAGGAGGCTAGCTGGACAAAAGGGAGCAAGAAGGATCAAAGCAGAAGATCTCTGCAGAAATTTTCGGTCAGAGCCTGGAATTTTCAGTCACTAGTATCGGTCTGATGTGGTCGACACAAACACACCGTTATAATTTCGGTCATGTGTGTCGATCACTGATGACCGATACAGATAATTTTCGGTCACTGGAGGTCGACACAACTGATCGATACCAGCTCTGCCCGAAGACCCTTTATTTACAATTATGCCATTTTCGCCTAGACTCCTATAAATACGGGAAATCCCTAATTTTTGGGAACAAGCATTTACCCAGCAGTTATTTCTTCCTTGTTTAGACCTCTGAATTTTGTAATTTGAATATTTGCTTCATTTCAATAAAAGTTTGCATCTTTCATCTTGTTTAAGCTAGCTAATCATGATTAGTCATCTTTCTCTCTTTGATTTGGTGGCTTTAATGGTGATTAGTGAGTAGTCCTTTTTAGGGATTTGAGATGGGTTAGGTTTAGGGGATTTGAGACTTTATCTATGATTGCTTAGTGTTAATTCTTTCATTTCCTTTCTTGATTGCTGTGTTTAATGCTTAATTAGCCCTAGCTAAGTTGATTAAGATCTTAGGCTCATTTTATGCCCACCAAGTGTTTGATGAAATGCCTGAACTGGTTTGCAAGAGAATTGCTTATCCTAGCTCAAGAGATTGACTGTCTAGGGAGTGATTTGGCAATATAGGGTTGATAGAATTGTTTTAATGCTTGCTCCTTATCATTTCAGTAATGAGAATTAGTTCTTGACTTGGTAATTAGCAAAGAGATTAGTGCCAAGAGATTGGATTAGTCATATAAATGAATCATATGCATAAGAAATACCATTGTGTGAGTTTGTAAGCATCATAAGTAGAGTCAAGAGTTCCCTATCACCAATTATCTCATCTCAAGTCCCATGTTTTCTCTGTTTCAAGCTCTGTTCTGATTTAGCTCTGTTTTTACTTCTACTTTGGTAATTTGCTTGCTTACTTCCTTATTTGTGTTTGTTTGGTTTTTGCTTGATCACTCAGTTTGCTAGAAACTCTAAAACCCTTTTATATCTGCTTGAATTAGGATTTCTACTGCATTCTTATTGTTTCATTCTCCCCTTTTGGATTGATAAAATCTTATGCTATACTACAACTGATTAGTACAAGCTTGGGTAATTGAATCAAATCCCAAAATAGTCTTTGTACCAATGACATTGTGTGAGTTTATAGAAGTTTTACTCTATAACATGTGTTCCTACGCTTTGTAATTAAAGTTATCTTTTAGAGGTGTGATATCTGACATAATATTATTATAAGTTTATGCATGGACCAGTGTTGTTGGATCACATTCACATTCCAAGTATATATGTATATATTTATATATATAGTATAATATATAATTAAGTTATTAGGGCTTCGCAGTGATTAATTACGGGACAATCGCTTGAACAAGTTAGCAATGATTACGGATCCGCCACTTAAACACCTAGGATAAAAGTACAAAGAAAGGCAAGAACATGCCTGGTGATTATTCTTGTATGCTGCTAAGTGCAACGCCGTGTTTCCTTGACGATCGCATCGGTTCAAGACGTGACTTTCCGTGGATGAAGCATCAGCTTTGCGCAATCGTTGCAGCCAGCCTCTGAGAACTTTGAGCTCTTCGTATCTATCGTTCATAACCGTGATGTGCAAAGCAGTTTCTCCTTTTACATTGGCATCTCTAATGCTTTCAGGACATACCAGGAGAAACTCTGTAAGAAGATCGACGTCACCTTTTTGTACAACAAGATGCAGCGGTGTCATACCTGTCCTTATGGAAAAAAAAAAAAATACATCTCGTTAATAAGTAAATTTTTGTTCTATGTTTCAAATATTGCTAATTTTTTAACCTAGCATAAAGAAAAAGAACAAGTTGGGAAAAAAAAACAAATATGAATTAAGATTTTGGAGCAAATAAAACCTCCTATTCCTCGAGTACGAACAAGGCTGGGATCAAACTTAATTAGCTCTAGAGCTAACTCAAGTTGGTGGTTTTGCACAGCGAGATGGAGAGGACTAAACCCATCCGTGTTCAATTTATGAGCAAAAGATGGCATCAGAATCATTAGCTCCATCGCCAAGTCTATTTTCCCGGTAGATGAAGCTTCATGGAGAGGAGTGTGGGTGAATTGTAAAACGTCTGCGTTTTGAAGAATACACGGTTCGTTTTGAATAAGAGAATGTAGAGCATCAACGCTACCCGACTGAGTAACCCAGAGCAATCTTGGATTCATACTCACAAAGAAAGAAAATTAACTCTAAGGACCCGTTGAAGAACAAAGTACTGATACTCTAAGCATTGTAGTTCATCAAATTTATAGAAAACTACATTATGTTTACATAATTTTTCGAGTATTGATGAGTCTATTGACTAAACTGTTTCGTAGAAAGAAAAAATACAACGTTACGTGCTACCAACATAATGAGAGAGTCAGTGTGTCCACGCTAGGCTAACAACATAGTACATGACATTAAAGAGAACAGCTCTAAGGACCCGCTGAAGAAGAAAGTACTGATACTCGAAGCATTGTAGTTCATTACATTTATAGGGAACTACATTATGTTTATATACTATTTCGAGTATTGATGAGTCTATTGACTAAAATGTTTCGTAGAAAGAAAAAACGCAAATTTAGGTGCTTCCAACGTAATGGGAGAGTCAGCGAGTCCAAGCAAAGCCTACAACATGATTGACTATAGTGAGAAGAGATGTAACTATTTTGGCTGACAACTGGAAATCAGTTTTAGGGATATTATGAATGAGAGGAAGTAAAAAAATAGGAATACAAAAGAATGGAATAAAGGAAGTTATGGAATTAAAACAATGGAATGAATAATTGTAGAAATTTGTTTTTGTTACTCAAATAGTAACTATTTATAGGAATAAAATGGAATACAAATAAATATAATTTCATCTAATTTATATTTAGATAAAAAATATTAAAATATATATAACAAGAATACATTTTTATTTAAAACTAATAAAATGCTACAATATAAAAGAAAATAAAACACAAATATCTTTATATATATAAAGTAAGCTTTTCTCTCTTCTGTGCTGCCACCTCAGCAACTATATTATTAGTTATTTTATTTATTTTTTTTAAAACACAAAATAACATTAATATTCAATATAAAAAATAGAAAAAATTAAAAGACAATTATAATATATTGTAAAATAAAACCAAAAAATAATTATATACATTACCATTGAATATTTCAAGATTCAAGGTAGAAATTTACGAATGTGTGATTGGAATTGGTAATTAGAAAGATAGAAAACAATAAAAATATTAACATTAACATTCAATATAAAAAATAACAAACATAAAAATAAAATTATAATGTGTTGTCAGAAAATAAAAATCAACAAAATACAAAATAGAAAAACCAAAAATAATGATATATATTATTTCTGAGTATTTCAAGATTCAAGACAGAAATTTATGAGTGTGTGACGGAAATTGATAAATAGAAAGACAAAAAATAATAAAAATTAATATTAATATTTAATATAAAAAATGGCAAACATAAAAAAACAACTATAATATGTTGTCAGAAAATAAAAAATCAATAAAATACTATAAAAGAAATAATGATATATATTAGCTCTAAGTATTTCAAGATTCAAGGCATAAATTTACAAGTGTGTAACAGAAAATGGTAATTAGAAATATGAAAAATAATAAAAATTAAAATTCAATATAAAAAATAGCAAACAAAAAAAAATTATAATGTGTGGTCAGAAAATAAATAAATCAATAAAATACAATATAAAGAACCAATAAATAATGATATACATTAGCTCTAACTATTTCAAGATTCAAGGCAGAATTTTACGAGTGTGTGACGAGCATTGATAATTTGAAAAAAAGAAAATAAAAAAATTAACATTAACATTCAATATAAAAATAGCAAACATAAAACGTAAAATTTTAATGTGTTGTCAGAAAATAAAAAAATAAAAAATACATTAACGTTGAGTATTTCAAGATTAAAAACGGAAATTTAAGAGTGTGTGATGGGAATTGGTAATTAGAAATACGGAAAACAATTTGCAAAAGAAATCCAATAAAAATGAAAGAGCAAATTCGAGTAACAAGACGGGTTCGATAAATTACATTATCTAAAATCTATTCATAAATTATCAATTATTTGGATGAAAATCAACTTCAAATAAATAGTTTGGGAAAATTCTGGAAAGTCGTAGAAATTTTTAAAAACTATATAATTTAAAAAAAATATAATTCTTAAATGGATAATTTTGGATATCTAATATCATATATGCTCTCTTTTCTTATCTGTTTGAATAAACCAAATAATCTTGAATGGATAATATTTGATCGAAATTAAGAAAGACAAGAAATTCAAAATGGGTACATTGAAAATAAAAAAACAATCACGAAATGTCCAAAATTATATGATACAAAAAATATAATATAAAAATACATAAAATGATAATCAAATCCCCGAGTTGCGCAAATCAGAAACTAGAAATTTGAAAAAGATGGAAAATACGAGAGAGGTACATGTGAGAATTAGAAATCAATCTTAAAATTCTCAAAAATATACGATACAACAAATATAATACAAAATGTATAAAAATAAATCACATAGCCGCGCGGATCAGCAACTAGTTATTTTAATATAATACTAAACTTGGACCTAAAATCTAACGATTAGAACTATATAAACGTTTCTCAATCTAAATGTCCTTAGCAATTTGATCATCATTTATATATCTTCACTAATATTTTGGCGATTGTGTAGAACATCATTTCTTGCATCTGCATTTTCAAATTCAACATCTCCAATGTTGTTTCAATGGATGAAATTATGAAGTCCCATTATAGCAATTATAACACGCCTTTGTACAGAAGTGTCATACCTTGGAAAAAACCCTCTATAATTTTTTTCCAAATTCCAAATGTACGTTCAATTACGGAATGAAGGGATGCATGCCATCTGTTAAACATCTCTTTAGTTTTTCATGGCGCTTCACCATTTAAAAACTCTTGTACCACAATTACGTTGCTTTCTATACCGAGCTAAGTAACCTCGGCTATTGACATATCCAGAGCCTACAAGATAAAATTTACCTTCTGGAGGTGTGGAAAACATAGGATCTTCTCGATTTGCTGTTGCTAAAATCCAGGAATCATGCGCTGATCCTGCCATCCCAACAAAACAATACGTAAAAAGCATATATGCGTCGCAGATGGCTAAAACATTAAGGCTCGTGTTCCTTTCCAACTTATAAATCGTATGGATTCCTTTCATAGTGTAACCATAATAGGTATATGCGTCCCGCATAATGCTCCTATAAATCAACTGAAAAAGGAGAATATCGAATATCTCCTTCAAGATGGTCAGATATAGATTTCATTTCTTGAACTGTACATGGTCATAAATAATCTACAGCCATTTATTCCATTGCTCCAAGTAGTTCATGAAATATTCAATCTATCGTCTCTTGTGCGTGTCCAAATATTAAATCAAGATCATATTGTTAAACATGATTTTAACATGACCCCAAAATCTTTAAACATCTATATTAATCACATAATATAACCATAAGTATAGAAAACGAAATACCTCCTTCCATTGTCATAAGAAGTCCTCTTGAACAGAATTGAGACTAGGACTTGATCTTTAATTAGAAATTTAGGTTTCTCTCCCCTTGCCTAAAAGCCTTTCTTTAATTAGAAATAAGTTATGGCATTATGATGGATAAAGCCAATATTTATAGGTAGAGAGAGAATCTAGTTCCACATTAGGGTTTTCTTTTAAGATTTAATCTCAACTTTCTATAAAGGATAGAGATAATCATATAGATGACAAGTAATTAGACAAGTGTTAAAGCTTTAGCTCTTACAACGTAATATGTATCTTTGTGAGAACAAACATGCAGCCTTACTCTCTTAAGTATGACATTTGTCCTTTTATGCACATGCGTTCTTTTATCTTCTTTCACTTAATTCCCTAAACATTACACTTGTCATCTAAACATAATGGAATTAAACTCTTTAATATCCAATGACATTTTTTCACCAAATTATTAAAGAATAACAATCCCTATATGAAATCCTATTACTATAGGACCACATAATTGGGAAACATATTTCTTACATTCTCCCACTTGGTCGTTAGTCATAATGCATTCATATTTTCTTTCGGGAATCATAAGGTCGGCATAATGTTATATCTTTCTTTCATTTGGTCATCATAAGTGTCTTGACTAATCTTGTGATCAGCAGGAGTCATGGCGGTTACACATTATTTTGCAACATGATCCCTTCCATGTACTACTGCATTGACCACCGGCATAATGTTATATCTTTCTTTCATTTGGTCATCATAAGTGTCTTGACTAATCTGGTGATCAGTGGGAGTCATGGTGGTTACAAATTATTTTGCAATATGATCCCTTCCATGTACTACTATATTGACCACCTTCATAGTTAGACCATAAACATAAATAGGAGTTATCTTAATGGTCCCTTTTAGGTCTTTGCCAAAGACGTAATCTGTTGTCATAATTCGAACAATCCATAATGTGTGCGCACATCGGAAACAGAATATCATAATATAGGTAAAAGCCATAAATAACTCATATATATTGTCAAATATTGGCTAAACATAATCAGACAATATATCTTAAGAGTTATCCTTAAGATCCATACTTTCAGCCTGATTCATAAAGGTCTTAGGAGGTAATGTTTTTGTAAATATGTCTGCGATCATAACATCAGTGCCTATATGTGATATATCATGGTTGTTATAGTTTTTAACCATGGTATAAATCCTTTTGACACAAGATTGGGAATAACTCCACAACCTTAGGACAACGGTGACCAAGAACTGATCAACAAGCTGATTGGCAGAAGTGGTTGAAGGTAGCAACGGTGGTGGAAATGTGATTGACTCTCTCAATCCTTGGATGACTGACTCACTCAGTCTTTGGAACTAGACTTGCCTGAATCTCACAAACACTTCTATTTCAAGAATCAATAGAAACAAATAAATCACTCAAATGAATCTAAAGACAAATATTTAAACAAAGACACTCTTTGAATAAAAAGAAGAATACACTTTATATTTTCTTGGTTGATTGAAAGGTGAATTACAATAAAATACTAGATGAGCTTATATAGCTGCTCAGTACACGTTATACACATTAATTTTAAGAGAAAATTATGTAAAAATCATAAAAGAATCAAAAAGAGAGGTTTAAG